GTGCGTGCGTGCGTGTGCACGCATGCGCACTCCCTCCGCTCACGCCGCCGCGCCCGCAGCTGCTGCGCGGAGAGGAACGAGTGGCTCGGCTGCCTGAGCAGGGCGCTGCCCGAGGACCCCAAGGCGCAGGCGCTGGCCGCGTTGCAGCACGGCCTGGAGGTGAGTGGCGGCTCCCGTCGGGGCGCCGGGTCCCCCGCCCCGCCCTGCCCGCGCCCCGCTCAGCCCGGCCCGTCGCTGCAGGTGCGGGAGAGGCTGGGGGTCGGCCTGGGCGAGCGGCCCCCCACGCTGGTGCCCGTGACGCACGTCGTGATGTGCATGAACTGCGGCTGCGACTTCTCCCTGACGCTGCGGCGCCACCACTGCCACGCGTGCGGCAAGGTGCGTGGGGCGCGATTCCCGCGCTCGGACCCCGGACCCCGCTGCAAGGCCCGGGCCGGTCCCGTCTCTGCAGCCAGCGGGGACGCGCGCGCGGTCACGCTGCTTGGAGACGAGGGTGGGGGCGGGGCTGCGGCCGGGCCGGACGGAACGACAGACGGGCGTCCCTGGCCCGCAGATCGTGTGCCGGAACTGCTCGAGGAACCGGTTCCCGCTGCGCTACCTGAAGGACCGGCTGGCCAAGGTCTGCGACGGCTGCTTCGCGGAGCTGCGCAAGCGCGGGGGGGCCCCGCCCGGCCTGGCGAGAGGTAGCGTCGGCCGCTCTCGCCGCCTTCCGGTGGCTCCTTCCCCAAACCGCTTCCCCTGGGAGGGAGGCTAGAGGGTCGGCGCACAGGCAGCCCTGGAGGAGACAGAGGCTCCACCTCACAGCGGGGCATCGGTTCCCGAAATGCTCGCTCCGTGCAGGGGTGACCGGGGCTCCAGCAGGAGGGGTCTGTGCGCAGCCAAGGGTAGGGGTCGGCGTCTGTGCGCGGGGGACAGAGCAGGCGGGGCTGCTCCTGAGGTCTGCACCCTGGAGGCCCTGCTGATCACGTGTCCTGGAGGCCCGTGTTCCGTGTCACCTTTGGGGGACCAACGGTGTAAGGCAGACAGCAGGGGAGGGGTCGTGGGTCAGGGAAGGGGTGAGACCCTCGGACGACGCGGGAGGCTGGGACTCGGAGCTGGGGGACAGGCAGGCTTTGCGCACCGGGACCGGGCGCAGAGGACAGTGGGCGTGTCCGGGACCTGAAGCCAGAGCGCCCTCCCCTCCTCCGCGGGGCCACCCTGAGTCACCAGAGGGGACAGCCCCATCCCGTGGCCCTTGCGTCGGCGGGCGGGGGTGTGCTCCTCCTTCCCGTCCCGCCGACCCCCCGCGGCGAGGGATGTCACGGGTGTCGCCGTCCAGAGGTGGCAGCTGTCACCCCCCTCCCCGCGCCTCTCCCGGTTGCAGAGCGGCCCGTGAGCATGAGCTTCCCGCTGTCCGCACCCCGCTTCCCGGGGAGCGCCTTCTCCTCCGTCCTCCACAGCATCAACCCCGCGACCTTCAGGAAGCAGAAGAAAGTCCCCTCGGCGCTGAGCGAGGTATGGCGGGCGGGAGGGTCGCGGCTCTGCGGGGCGGCCACCGTCAGACCTCCCTGCCCCAGGCTGACGGGGCTGCTGCTAACAGGACGCCCGGCCGCGAGGACAGGCTGGCCGCCAGGGGGGCGGTGCCGCGTCTGTCCTTGCCAGCCCTGGGGACACGCCTGTGTCCTGGGCGCGGCCGGGGGACACGCGCCAGGTGGGTGCCCCCGCGCCCGGCCTCTAGC